GGGGGGGGGGGCTGGCAACTCCACCTGGACCAATTTCTGAAAGTCTTTGAATGATAGCTGAATAACTTGATTTGTATCAAAGCTGCCACAATAATTCTTGAACCATGAAATGGTGACTGGATAATTGTGTCAATAATAATTTTATAAGCATGTATTTTATAAGCATGAAAGCATTGGTAGGCCATAAATTGGGGGGGGGGAGTTGAAGAAATGCCATTTACAGCAACAGATTTTGCATTATAAACATCAGAGGGTGTATAATATGCAACATATCTATTTCACTATTTTCTGCATATCCTCAATTCATAGTTAATAACATCAGTTGTATGTTTCAACAAACTGACAAGAAATATCATGTAATGATATATAATATGAGTGAAATGAACAAAGTACATACTCAATTAAGTGGCAAAATTTGCAAAAGTACGTAACAATTGAGAGATTCAGAGAGACCCTTTAGGGACCGGTCATTATTTATGGAGGGGGAGGGGAATTTTTTCTTTCCTAAATTTTTTAAATTGAAAGACCCCCCTTAAAAGTGCAGAAATTTAATGATGACCCCCCTGCATATTAGAATATTTTTCTTTGACCCCCCCCCATTTTCATTTTTACTCGTCAAATGGAGATACCCAGGCGTTATACAGTGTTAACTAGAGGGCACTCAGAGACTGCATACCTCCGCCCGTTACTCGGAAGTGAAACGCAACCTTGGAATTTCCTAAGAAATCCACTTTATAATTCTTAAGCATAAAAGATTTCAGACCCCCGCGAATTGAAATCGAATTGCTAATAGAACATATTACTGTTGTTGTACTGTACAGTACTTGTAAAATAAAAACTTATTAAGTGTCATTAAATAAATGCATAAATTTTGCTTTATGCACTCGCGCGTGCAGTAATTTTCACAGTTGTGCTATTTTAAATTCCCAGGCAGCTAAAATCTTTTGTCTTTAAAACAATGTCGATTTCTTGGGAAATTCCGAGGTTGCGTTCTTTTTATACACCCTGTATTGAAGTAATCTATTGTTGTTAGAATTTGAATGGACTAGCACTTTGCTGAACGTAATAATGCGTAACTCCGTAAGTCTTGTTTTAGACATTGAATTTCGGTCGCGTGAAATGCAACTAAGACAATAGATAATGAAGGCCGAAGCTTAATGAGGTTTATTATACACGTCCTAATTACGCAATTCAGTAATATTTTTTGTTAATTGACCGGGAAAAGCACGACAAAATTTTGTTCATTTCTCGTTCAATTTTTAACCAAATTCAACCAAATTTTAATCAGTTCTTCCTTAGCCGATGGGAAATGCATTCAAAAGACATTTTCTGCTTGGAGTGCAGATCTTTCGAGATTAGAAAAGCTTGCTTCGCAATGGTTGTTTGGGGAAGTGAGTTTAAGTGAGTGATGTATTTGAAGACCCTTTTGAATACGTTAATGATGCATGAGAGTGATCGGAGTTTTCCAAGCTCAGCTCTGGAGGCATGCAATGTTACTTGCTTTCCTACTGACAGCGAGGTAAATTTTACAGACCTTAAGATGAACTTTTTCAATTGGTGATTTATCCCAATTGTTGCATGAAATCATTTTTCACGTATGTCCCCCATACTTCCGAGTTGTATAGTAGGATAGGAGTTATAATTGAAAATTTGAAATGGCATATTTGGGATTGAGATGGCTGAAATTGAGCTGTCTTCTTATACCGTATAAAGCATGCAAGGCTTTTTCGCTTAGTTGTTTTAGAGCTAGAGTAAAATTACCATTGTGGTTTAGTTTGACTCCTAGGTAACAGTATTCCTGTACGATTTTTATGTTCCGATTTCCAAGATTAAAAATTGGTCTTGCTTTTCTTGTTTTTCTTTTTTCAAATATCATTATTTGTGTTTTCTTCAAATTCATCTCCATAAGCCATTTTTTTCTTCAACAATGGAGATCGTCTAGAGATTTTTGTAGGCCGAATTTTGATCGAGATAATAAAATTAAGTCATCGACATATAGAAGGCAACTCAGTTTAGTCCCATTTGGTAGTATAAACGGATCGGCAGCTGTATTATCAAATAATGTTGCTAATTCGTTTATATAGATATTAAATAAAAGGGGGCTCAAAATACACCCTTGGCGCACTTCTTTGGAGTAAGAGAAAAATTCAGTTCGATTTATTTTACTTTCTTTTACGGCGCATTTAGAGCTTGAATATAGACTTTTAATAAGGTGAATGGAAAATGAAAATGAATGGAATGCATGGAAAACGAAACATAAACAAGTCCCAAAAGGGAATTAAAATTGCATGTTAAATTATCTAAAATAAGCTCAACTCGTCAATCTTCATCTTAGTGAGACCATAAGAACGTCCATTATTCCATTAAACATGGTTCAATTAACCCCTGAACAGAAAACATTCGTAATCAAAACGTTTTACGAAACAAGTGATTATATAACTTTGCATAATTAATGTATTTTCAATTCCCAACGGTGGAAGAATGTGATTTCGACCGAAAATTTTTATTTGACGAGTATGTGGCCATTTCTCATAGTTACGGTTTATGAAATATATCATAGAAAAGCTAAATAACAGCTCTTTCGTCCTAAGTAAAAATTGAATTGTGTAGTAAAGTCTATGATGCACAACAGCCTGTTGAATTTCCACAGCGTTTTTTTTTAGACACCCTGCATAATATTACGCGTTAAATATAAATGTCAATTGTTTCTTTTAAAAGTACATGAATAAAAAGTGATTCAACATAAAAAAAACAACAAAACGGTACTCTTCATCGATGATTGAATACTCACTTACGGCTGAAACAGCTTGAAATGAGTCCCTGACTCTAATTATAATTATTGAACGTAACTCGGATTTAGCAGCAAAGAAAAAAATAAACTTTCAATCGTAGAGAGCAGAATTAATCGCCTTACCTCAAAAGGTTGCCATAACAGTCTGTTTCATCCATGAGGAATCATCAGGTGACTGACAAATTTCGAAAAGTGGGCTGCTTTTAACATATAAAAATGTTTACGGTCTGAAACGTGGGCGTGTGGGCGTCAAACAATACATGTATTCCTTCCATTGTTGTCATTGTTTACTAGAGATTTCTGTTTATGATTATACATGTCTAAACTATTTCTGATGTTTTGTTAAGTAAAAATTGTTTGTTTTTTTCCTTCAAAATACAGATTTTTTCCTCTAAACACAAATTACATATTTTTTATCCTCTCGTATAAGAAACAGCGCGTTTCAGTATTGACCAGGTTATGTAGAAATCCTGTTTGTTTTCTTTTAATTTCCAAATATATTTCGAAAGTTTGTATCGTTTGAGTATTTTTTGTGATTGAAAGATCTATTGTGGTTTCGGTATCGCTCTTTAAAGGTGCTTGATGTTATGCTGTTTGTGTTGCTTGAATGTTGGGACAGTTGCCTTATACTATGTCCTTATACTATGTCCTTTTCCTGTAGTGACTAGTGGACATGCGTTCCTACAATTGCAACTGTCTGCGTTCTCGCTCTGTGGCAGGTTTTATTAAAACAACTTGGTCTCGTAGGAACCAGCAACTTGTTACACTGATGTTTAAAGTCAGAAATTCAAAGAACCAACGACGTACACAATTACAAAACGAGACATGCATGCAGGTGGAAAATTATTTTTCGCCTGAACCAAACACTAATTTCAAGAAAAAATCATTTAGTTACACGGGTGCGGTGGCTTGGAATAGTTTACCTTGTGATCGTAAAAGATCTAAAACTATCCAATCTTTCAGAAATAAGTTTTATTGGAACGAAAGGAATCATAATTTCCTGTTGTTTTAATTTATACATACATATATATATATATATATATATATATATATATATATATATATATATATATATATATATATATATATATATATATATATATATATATATATATACGGCGTTTCAGGGGTCGAAATTTAAATTTTTTGTACTATACAGCTGGAATAGTAGATTTTCCGTCTGAAAATCCACTATTCCTTAATGTACTGTTTCCGAGAACCTGTTCATGCAGGGTCCGTGTTAATGTTCTGATTTTCGTAAAATCATCCTTGAGACGCCCAAAGTGAAATGAATAATTGAATAACAAAAAATAAACATGTACAGTTATGGTACAAATAAAAAACGATCCATTCTTATTTGCCACAGTCGGATGAGCAAGATAAAATTCACAAAACATTTTGTCAAGTTCACTGTTGTAGGTCACCTACTTATATTTATCTTTCCACGACGGTGCGAACTTTCGTGCTCTTTTTGTGCGGTCATACACATTGTCTCTCGACTCTCGTTTTTTTGTTATTGTCCAATTTTTGGAGCTTGGCTGACGATTTTTCTACGCCCGATACATAAAAAACTAAACGCTAAAGTTGTTTTTGACGACAGGACAGGCCGGCGCCAGTTTGTCTGTCATGTTATTGTAGCAAAGTTAATTAAGTTAATATTGCTGCAAGGAAATTAGAATACGCAAGTAGTGCAAGCGAACAAGAATATAGCTACGAATTGGAACAGTGGCTGAAAGTCCGGTATAAAGTGATATATTATACAAGAGGAAAACCCTTGCTTGTCGATATTTGATACCACAATTTTTTTACTATACAAACGGAATACCGTGATCATGAAGTTTACTATTCCGTCAGGCATTTTACTATATTCGGAATAGCGGAAAAGCGGAAGTTTTGACCCCTGCGTTTATTACGGTCTATTGGAAGATCACTCATTTGTTTTCTCTCTATACATGTATATGTAGTGTAGTTTTATATCGTGAAATAGTTCCGTATTGGAATTAATAAAGTAGTAATAATAATAATAATAATAATAATAAAGTAAATTATTGTTATTCAAGTTTTTTCCACTTTTTCATCATTAATGGTTAATTTATCCAATGGCATTGTTAGAACCAACATGACATAACAATGAAATTAAAGATTGCCGTGTATGTTTCCATACTTCATCCAACATTATAAAAACGTGTTGACGAAGACGTCTATACATGAAGAAATAAACTATAGGATTGTATATATTTGCTGTTTTTGCGAACAGAGAAGGCAGCTCGTACCATCCATTGTCAAATTCGATATCGGTCAGTACTCGAAGACTAGACATGACAGCGTACGGGGTCCAAGCGGTAAGAAATCCACATGTAACGACGACTAACTGTTTAGTAATCTTCACTTGCGCTGTGTACGTATGCCGTGTGACTTGTGCATTGGAGCCCCATGTAGCTGCGGCGTTGCGACAAACCTTTCGCACAATAAAAAACATGTGGCCGTATGAGACAGCGATTGCAACGATTGGTAGGACGTAGAAGAAGAACAAAAGTGCTATACAATACCAAACGTACCATATTATTTCGGATCTCCAGACAATACCACAATGGAGGCCAAATCCTTCAAAAGTGTAACTAGAAAATCCAAAGAATGGCAAGACGCTTGCTATGAGGGCGATCGACCAACATAAGAAAACAACTTGAATCACTCGTTTCCTTGCCGTATTAGTGTTGTTTGGATGAGACAAAGTGTAGTAACGCTCGAGGGCAATACATGTGAGTTGAAGTATGGACGAGAGACCTGTCCAGGTTATCATTAAACCATATGCAACACAACCACTCTTTCCTGTTGTCCATTTCTTTGCTACTGCGGAGGAGAAGGCCAGTGGGGTTATGATAAGCGATATGACAAAGTCACCAATTGCCAGGCTGAATGTCAGTATGTCCTTTGGATCTTTCAACAGCTTTTTGTGAAATTTCATCTGAGTTACAAGAACAAGAGCATTTGCAATTCCACCGAAACACATAATGAACGCGAAACCGAAAGAGAGAGCAGCAGCACAATATTCCGGTATTTTTGGAAGATCCATTCCTTACGAAAAGTATATAGCCACACTTCACAGAAAAAAAAAATGTAAGTATAGTGAAAGAATGGTCTGATACGAAGCTTTATATCTGCTAACCGAAAATGCAGGTGCTCATTTTAAATTAGAGAAAGAGATATACGGGCGCGCGGTATGACAATAGATTACATAATAGTATTTTATCCCAAAATCAAGGTAAATATTTCCCATGTATGGATGTTCTATTTTAATTACTTATCATCAGTAAATAATTATTTTTTGCATATTACTTGTAACAAAACTTCCTCTCTCAATACCAAAACTGGCAACTCTTAAATACATGCATGTATGCCCATAAAGATACTTTTAAAACTAGAGGGCACTCAGAGACTGTATACCTCCGCCCGTTACTCGGAAGTGAAACGCAACCTTGGAATTTCCTAAGAAATCCACTTTATAATTCTTAAGCATAAAAGATTTCAGGCCCCCGCGAATTGAAATCGAATTGCTAATAGAACATATTACTGTTGTTGTACTGTACAGTACTTGTAAAATAAAAACTTATTAAGTGTCATTAAATAAATGCATAAACTTTGCTTTATGCACTCGCGCGTGCAGTAATTTTCACAGTTGTGCTATTTTAAATTCCCAGGCAGCTAAAATCTTTTGTCTTTAAAACATTGTCGATTTCTTGGGAAATTCCGAGGTTGCGTTCTTTTTATACACCCTGTATTGAAGTAATCTAATGTTGTTAGAATTTGAATGGACTGGCACTTTGCTGAACGTAATAATGCGTAACTCCGTAAGTCTTGTTTTAGACATTGAATTTCGGTCGCGTGAAATGCAACTAAGACAATAGATAATGAAGGCCGAAGCTTAATGAGGTTTATTATACACGTCCTAATTACGCAATTCAGTAATATTTTTTGTTAATTGACCGGGAAAAGCACGACAAAATTTTGTTCATTTCTCGTTCAATTTTTAACCAAATTCAACCAAATTTTAATCAGTTCTTCCTTAGCCGATGGGAAATGCATTCAAAAGACATTTTCTGCTTGGAGTGCAGATCTTTCGAGATTAGAAAAGCTTGCTTCGCAATGGTTGTTTGGGGAAGTGAGTTTAAGTGAGTGATGTATTTGAAGACCCTTTTGAATACGTTAATGATGCATGAGAGTGATCGGAGTTTTCCAAGCTCAGCTCTGGAGGCATGCAATGTTACTTGCTTTCCTACTGACAGCGAGGTAAATTTTACAGACCTTAAGATGAACTTTTTCAATTGGTGATTTATCCCAATTGTTGCATGAAATCATTTTTCACGTATGTCCCCCATACTTCCGAGTTGTATAGTAGGATAGGAGTTATAATTGAAAATTTGAAATGGCATATTTGGGATTGAGATGGCTGAAATTGAGCTGTCTTCTTATACCGTATAAAGCATGCAAGGCTTTTTCGCTTAGTTGTTTTAGAGCTAGAGTAAAATTACCATTGTGGTTTAGTTTGACTCCTAGGTAACAGTATTCCTGTACGATTTTTATGTTCCGATTTCCAAGATTAAAAATTGGTCTTGCTTTTCTTGTTTTTCTTTTTTCAAATATCATTATTTGTGTTTTCTTCAAATTCATCTCCATAAGCCATTTTTTTCTTCAACAATGGAGATCGTCTAGAGATTTTTGTAGGCCGAATTTTGATCGAGATAATAAAATTAAGTCATCGACATATAGAAGGCAACTCAGTTTAGTCCCATTTGGTAGTATAAACGGATCGGCAGCTGTATTATCAAATAATGTTGCTAATTCGTTTATAAAGATATTAAATAAAAGGGGGCTCAAAATACACCCTTGGCGCATTTCTTTGGAGTAAGAGAAAAATTCAGTTCGATTTATTTTACTTTCTTTTACGGCGCATTTAGAGCTTGAATATAGACTTTTAATAAGGTGAATGGAAAATGAAAATGAATGGAATGCATGGAAAACGAAACATAAACAAGTCCCAAAAGGGAATTAAAATTGCATGTTAAATTATCTAAAATAAGCTCAACTCGTCAATCTTCATCTTAGTGAGACCATAAGAACGTCCATTATTCCATTAAACATGGTTCAATTAACCCCTGAACAGAAAACATTCGTAATCAAAACGTTTTACGAAACAAGTGATTATATAACTTTGCATAATTAATCTATTTTCAATTCCCAACGGTGGAAGAATGTGATTTCGACCGAAAATTTTTATTTGACGAGTATGTGGCCATTTCTCATAGTTACGGTTTATGAAATATATCATAGAAAAGCTAAATAACAGCTCTTTCGTCCTAAGTAAAAATTGAATTGTGTAGTAAAGTCTATGATGCACAACAGCCTGTTGAATTTCCACAGCGTTTTTTTTTAGACACCCTGCATAATATTACGCGTTAAATATAAATGTCAATTGTTTCTTTTAAAAGTACATGAATAAAAAGTGATTCAACATAAAAAAAAACAACAAAACGGTACTCTTCATCGATGATTGAATACTCACTTACGGCTGAAACAGCTTGAAATGAGTCCCTGACTCTAATTATAATTATTGAACGTAACTCGGATTTAGCAGCAAAGAAAAAAATAAACTTTCAATCGTAGAGAGCAGAATTAATCGCCTTACCTCAAAAGGTTGCCATAACAGTCTGTTTCATCCATGAGGAATCATCAGGTGACTGACAAATTTCGAAAAGTGGGCTGCTTTTAACATATAAAAATGTTTAC